AGAAGGAAGCAGTTTACGGAAAGCAGAAGGAAGTCAAGTTGGACTTCACAAAAATACTACATTGCACATCCAACTCCAAAAATTTGCAATTCTTTTCATTACTTGGCTCCGAGATCAACATATTAGGCAACTTAGATAATTTTTTTAATTCTGATAACACGAGGCTTACCCAATGAGGAAGAAATAGAATTGATGGTCACACCGTAGACAACAATAACTCCATGTGATCAGGAAAACCAGTCCAGTGCAGTTGCACGTGTTTGAAATGTAAACGGAGCATTTTGATTGGTCCCGTTTGATGGTGTGTCGGAGGTGTGTCAACTGGTGGTAAACTGATGGTCTGGAATGACAACAAATCGCTACCATATAAAAAGCTGAATACTTGGCGTGGTGTCAGACTTTTTACAGCGCTCACTAAACAGTGCTACTAGTCTTTAAAAGCTAAGCATTCATCCGGATTTTTCCGATCAACAAGAAATTTGTATTTCGTCGATTGATTTTTTTTACTCTACCAGCAAGGTGAGCCTGTTTTTGTGTTGTTGAAGAAGGGATGCTTATTTTCTCCTCCATGTGCGTGTCGCTGTTATAGTGTATTTTAATTTCGATGAAGAAGAGTTACGTTTTTCGTTTGTTACATAATTTGATGTTCAACCGTAGTTGTTTTTAAAAACATTTTAAATCTTTAGCTCAAAGCGTTCTTTACAAAATCAAAATGCAACCTTCACTTTGATTGTAGCCTTACAAAATATGAATATTTAATACCAAGCGTACACGGGTGTTTTTAGTTTGCAAGTATTTCCTACTTAATTGTACTTTTGTAGAAACTTATTTTTTCTTCACAGCATAATAATCAGTTTTAAAATCTGTGATGTGTATTATTCATTCTGAAATAATCACGCCGTCAAAAATCGAAGTGAATCAATTATTTGCTTCGTTGACTGAGCAAATTTACGGCGATTTTTCATCGATAATTTCGTTACCAAACCATTCTTACTCTTTTATAATGCAAACAGTATTTAGCGCTCTTTTTCATCTAATATTCCAACCCTGACTTATAGTTGCCCAATGCAAAAAAATAACTTTGTTGGTTTCATGTAACGCAATTGTTTAAGAGCTTTGATGACTGTCACGCTGGCATATTGTTTCGTTGATAATAATAATATGCATGCAAAAATTTCAGCATACCTGGCACGGGTAAGAGTTATGGATATTATTCGATTCAGATATGAAGTAATTATGTAACATGTGAAGCCTGGTAAAGGAATGAAAATAACTTGACGCCGTTCTCATATTTTTAACTTGCCTGACCGGAGAAAAGTAATCTGCCCCGGGACTTAAAAAAAGAGTTGTTGTAATCATAACAGCGAGCACGAGCCGGATGCACGTGAATGACACATGATGTTGACATTTCGTAATGTTCTTTTGTGATCACTCGAGTGCTGATTTGCATCTCAACACAACATTGTACTGTCAAAAAAAGTAGGTGTCGATTGATATTGACCAGCATTTCCTGCGTCCGAGCTAAATTTGATCTTGCGGCCCCTGTATTGACGTCAATAGTGAAATTCTACACTACTTGTGATACTGCAATTCTTGTACAAGCATGTGCAAGTGACCGATAACAAAACAGTTACCACGTCGGAGCTTCAATATTTGCATCTTCGTCCAGGGTTGCTTGTGCACTTGGCAGTAGCGTTTCAGCTACATTGTTTACATTCAATTTTTTGATTTTGCAAGTCAACTACAGTTTTGCAGAATGAAAGGCAGAAGGCCTAGTACCCGCAGCGCATCAAGTCGCACTGGTCTTGTTGATTCGCCAGGAAGAAAGATGCTTTCTGAGGTTCTTCTTGTTTGCGAGCTGTTGTTGTTTATTACGCTCGCGGCTCTAACAGGTGGTAAGCCGATTTCAGCATCGACAAATGGTCAGAAAAAACGGCCTCAAGTACGTAAACCAGCAAAAATATGAATTTTATATTTCTTGCGTAAGTCACTTCTGCAGCGTTTCAGAATATTTTGGAAAGGATTCGAAGGTTGTGCCGTAACTTAATTGAGTTGAAGTTTACTCTTTATTGTTTGATTTACTTCGTTCAGTAATGAACAACTGAAGCTTAATTAGCTTAATTGCTTTATTCTTGTACTGTACGAATACGTAATTTTGCAGCGAATAGAGAAGTCTGTAGTATTATGGCATGTAAGTAAACAATTCGAGGACCGAACGAAATCAAATTCTAAACAGATCACTACTTCACGATATTTCACACAATCATAACAGATGAATTCCTTTCATAGCTTATGAATTGTTTTGAACTAACACTTTGGTAAACATGTTGTAAATTAACATAAGGTATAGCAGTTTCTGATGTAAATCGTGGATAACATAACGTTCTCCTAACAAAGATTAACACTCAGGCTATGGGAATTTCGCAATATTGTCAGATCGCATTTTATAAGCAGCTGAAAGCTGATGTTAATAAATAGCTCAGGTTTATTAAGATGTTATATTGGAAACCACCGAAGAACCTTAGCTTAGAACAGCGTTATTCCAAAGATCTCATTTATTAGAATGGGCTGATTTGTTTATTCAAAAATGTCAGTAGTAAGTAGGTTAAATTATAAACTATAGATGTTTTGAACATTTTAAAATTGACGTAGCAGGGATTTCAGGGTTTTCAGTCCTTAGAGATCAATTGCTTTTAAAGATGCCTGATATCCCTAAATGTTTGCTTCAAGTGGCAGATTCCAAATTCAATATATATGTACAAATATTATTCAGTACAAACATTGTATATATACAACCTAGGCATGAATGGGTAGATTGAATCTTGTAATTTGATCAAAATAAGCAAGCAGTCCCTGACAGCTGTAAAGATATGGTTGTTGACATCACAGCTTGAAAGAGGCTCTCCTTGGCCCAAAATGTAACGCCACTGGCTAAATTGAGAACCCTGTCAAACAGTCTCTCAACCGTTATTAAGCCTCCAGATGAGACATTATAGAATTGAGACCAGTAACACAGACTCCCCCTCCCCCCTACAAAAAAAATACCTGGTTGAGTCTCTTGAAGGATCAAATAATTTACTGTTCCTATGTTGGATCAAAATCATAATTAATCACAATTTCCTTATCTGTTGCAGGAAAGATAACAAAACAACATGGTCCAACAACTTCTAGATGACATTGTGGTGGCAGGCCTGGCTTGCAGGCTTCCAGAGTCTGATAATGCAGAGGAATTTTGGTCTCATCTGATGAACAAGGAAGATATGGTGACAGAAGATGATAGACGCTGGACGCCTGGACTTCATGGCCTGCCTAAACGTAGTGGCAAACTCAAAGATATCAAGCACTTTGACGCAACCTTTTTTGGTGTTCATGCAAAGCAAGCCCATAAAATGGATCCTCAACTAAGAATCTTACTTGAATTAACATACGAAGCACTGATTGATGCAGGTGTTGATCCACAAAAAGTTCGTAATTCCAAGACTGGTGTCTTTGTCGGTGCCAGTGGCTCTGAAGCTGGTGAAGCATTCAGTGCAAACACTGAAGATATTGTCGGCTATGGTATGACCGGTTGTTGCCGAGCAATGTTTGCAAATCGTGTATCTTTCACATTTGACTTCAAAGGACCAAGCTTTGCCATTGACACTGCTTGTTCCTCATCACTGCTTGCTATGGACTGTGCAGTGCAAGCTATCAGATCAGGAAGTTGTGATGCTGCCATTGTGGGTGGCGTAAGTCTGACATTAAAGCCCAACACTTCTGTAGACTTTTTAAGGCTCAACATGTTGTCCCCCGATGGTGCATGTAAATCATTTGATGTCAGTGGTAATGGATATTGCCGTTCAGAGGGTGCTGTGGCCATTTACTTGACAAAAAGATCTGTTGCCAAGAGGATATACGCTCATGTTGTTAACTCAAAGAACAATTCAGATGGATACAAGACACAAGGTAAGAACCAGATGTTTGGTGCTAGTGAATAATTTTTTCCAAATCAACTATATACTGACTAGAAGTGTCTGTCAGTTCATACTGTCCTGTTGTTCTAAGAATTGTAAGGCAAATTAAGTAAGAGATGACTACTGTGACCTAAGTCTGCCATAAATGGTAGTTATGAATCTTGCCATTAAGAAACCTGCACAGTTACAATTGGCACCTGTGAATGTCACAATGCCTAGGCAGTTCACGTCAAGCCTATAGGAAGTCAGAGATTGAGAAGCTGATCACCAAAACTCTCCAGCACATGCTGTATGAAATGTAGGTAGACCAGTTGTGACAATGTTTATGTGTATGATTTACCTTCAAGTGATTCAGTGAAAATGGCCAGTTGCATACTTATAAAGTATCACAAGAATTGATTAGTGCTAATTGGTATTTTGGTGCTGATAACACAAGATTGATTACATTTCTTTCTCTTTTTTCCAGGTGTGACATACCCAAGTGGGGCAGTTCAGAAGCAACTGCTGGATCAAGTGTATGGTGAAGCCAATATTAACCCTTCAGATGTTGCATATGTTGAAGCTCATGGCACAGGCACAAAGGCTGGTGACCCTGAAGAGCTGAATGCAATCACATCTGTCTTCTGCAAGAACCGTCCTGGACCCCTGCTCATTGGCTCAGTCAAGTCTAACATGGGACATCCTGAACCAGCATCGGGACTGTGTGGAGTGACCAAGGTCTTGCTTGCCATGCAGCATGGTGTCATCCCTCCTAACCTGCACTTCAATTCTCCAAACCCTGACATCCCATCTCTTCTTGATGGAAGGCTCAAGGTAATTTGTCCTATTGTCTGAGCTGTGATCATCTAGTTGGACTTGAATGATCCTAGTATTGAATGATCCCAGCTCAAGCATTGGCCAGGTCATCATGTTGTGTTCTTGACCAAGACACCTTGTTCTTATATTGCCTCTCCCCTCCAGGAACAACTGTTCTAAGTCACACCATGCTACAGCTCTGCTCTGCTTAGCTCGTGAAAACTTAACTCAATTGTTGTTAAGAGTCCTTGCTTCTTTGGCATGAAATCTCCCATGAAGGGTAGTTGGGGAGTCAAATTATGAAACATGTCATGAAGTTTGCCTGGTTCTAGCTTTAAGATCTGTTGATGAATTGCTAGTGTGTAACCATTCAAACAAAAGCTGCGTTTATTGAGAAGTAATTCTGATAGCTGTATTGTGCAGAATACTATGTGGCTCTGAAGATTAAATTTCTCACCAAGGGTAAATGGATTGTTTTCTGTATTAGGGCTGATTAAGCATGTAAAGTTTTATTTGGTAGTTCAGGCACTTGTGGTGATTTTCTGTAAGTGCACACGCATAGGAGGGGGGGGGGGGGNGAGGACTGAAAACACAAAGTGTTGATTTTCAGCTTTTAGCAAATAGTGGAGGAATGGAAAACAAACTTTGAGTGTTGCAGCATTTAAATTACCCTGCAAGAAAACGCTAAAAGTGATGCAAACACCTATAATGTTGGGTGATGCAAACACCTATAATGACACCCTTAATAAATTTTCCTGTCAATACGAACACCCTTCCAAAAACCTCAGCTACGCGCCTGAACTGTGATCTCAACTTGCAGGTTGTGTCAGAACCTATGCCTTGGAAAGGTGGCCTTGTTGGAATAAACTCATTTGGATTTGGTGGATCCAATGTGCATGTTATCCTTCAGTCTCCAGAAACACCTGAGCCAGAAGTACCTGAGAAGCCCACTTTACCAATAGTGGTGCCTGCATCAGGAAGAACAGAAGAAGGTGTCAACAAAATGCTGAAATTTGCGAGAGAGAATATTGAAAGCAAAGACCTGTTATCTTTGCTGACAGAAATTTCATCAAGACCCCTCAATACCTTCACCCACAGGGGTTACGCCATCATTGGCAGTGAAAATGAGATTGAAGATATTATGAAAGTGCAATCAAACACTCGCCCCATCTGGTATGTGTTCTCGGGTATGGGCAGCCAGTGGCCTGGCATGGGAGAGAGGTTGATGCAGATCCCCACATTCTGTGAATCGATTTCCAAAACTGCGGAAATTTTGAAGGACTTTGGAGTTGACTTAGTGAAGATCATCATGGAGAGTGATGCAAACACCTATAATGACACCATCAACTCTTTTGTGGGATTAGCTTCCATTCAGATTGCACTGGTGGACTGTTTAAGAGCTTTGGGTAAGTTTTGTTTGCTTTTAAGACTGCTGTCTTTCTCATTGTGTGCCTAGTGTTTCCTCTCAATCTTGATGCTCTGCATGTTCCAAGAATGACATTTAACTACAAGAAGAATATGTTGGCCTTAATAAAACAAAGTTAGTAGGAGTAAGGTTCTGTGTTCATCACTAATTATTGTTGGATTAACCAACGCCACACATGAAGAGTAGAGCCACCCCCGGGTTTCTGGTATTTACCTTGCACCTCTTCTTATCTATCAGGGCTGTACTCTAGAAGCGCCTGGGTGCCAGAGGTGACTAACTTTTGCCTTTGGGCAACTGGAAAAACTTACTTTTTTCATTTAAGCATAAGTGCTAGGGACCTGGGATTTCATGGTTAGGAACCTTTGGGCACCTCTTAATTTTTCTTAGACCACAGCCTTGAATTCTACTGGTTTTCACCTATGATTTAATTCTGGTTCTTTTTAGGAATAACACCTGATGGAATTGTTGGACACAGTGTTGGAGAACTTGGTTGTGCTTATGCAGATGGAAGTTTTACTGCCAAAGAAGTTATTTTAGCAGCTTATTGGAGAGGTGAGTGAGTTGTTTCAATGTACCTTACAGGTAGAGGTGCTTCTCCTGTTAAGCATACAAATATGGCTTGTCAATACGTCATTTACTATAATATTGTATAGTTTTAGTCATCTTGTCAGGGCTTGACACTTACTTTTCCCTCAACTTGCCAGTATAGAAAGTACACTTGAAAATTTCCAGAAGACAAGGAAGCATATTTTTTACTAGCCATAATCAATGAATGTAATAAAGTTTAATTTAGCAAATGTTTTGTCTTGAGCACTTCAATTATTCATTAGTCATTAAAATTGGGACGCCTTGCTCTTGGCCCA